CAGCCTTCTAGGCTCCCCCTCTCCCTTTTTTTAGACCTGGGGGGGGGTGACTGCCACCGCAAGAGTTCTTGTGTTTGTGAAGATCAAGCACGTGCAAAATCAATAATGTAAGAAAGAAAGAAAAAAAGTGGTGAGATGGGAAGAGAAAAAGGAGGAAATACAGATCTCAGACCAATTATTTTGCTACAAACACTTTCAGTGACAACAGGGGCAGGCCCCAAAGGGCAGCATATAACAATGGAAGCTAATTAGAATGAGTTCAGTGTAATAATTAACTAGTATCTAACACCTACAAGTGTATTTCTGTTTAAACTAAAACATGACCTGCATAGCAGAGAGGACTTGTAAACTGTCTATGAAATAAAAATGTGACAGTAAAGGTCAGAGCAGCACTCATTTGAATTTCAAGCAGGAAGCGAGTTCTACACTCTGTGTGAACAGCACAAGTTTGGTGCCTTATTATTTTATTTTATTTTGAGCTCCCCTTGCCAATAGGAGCTGTTGGGAGAAATCCTACAGGACTAATTATTAAGGCAGCGAAATAAGCTTTGTGTTTTCCCCTCCTCCCCTTATCTCCTTTGGATTGATAAAAACACTTGCAGCACAATTGCTGTGCATTATATCTATATCTATATCTATATCTATATCTATATCTATCTATCTATCTATCTATATATATATATATATATATATATATATATATATATATATATATATATATATATATGTTTTCTGAGGTTTTCGCGGGTATTTGTATGTAGGTCTTTGGTTGCTCGGGTTTTCTCCCGCGTAAAATTGGAAGTGTCTTGGCGACGTTTCGACGAAGTCCCATTCGTCATCTTCAGGCTGGTGTTTTCAGCTTCGTGCTTCGAGAAGCACGAAGCTGAAAACACCAGCCTGAAGATGACGAATGGGACTTCGTCGAAACGTCGCCAAGACACTTCCAATTTTACGCGGGAGAAAACCCGAGCAACCAAAGACCTATATATATATATATATATATATATATATATATATATATATATATATATATATATATATATGTATATGTATATGTAGCAGTGGGACTAAAAGCATCAGTGAGCTCCCATGATATGTTCCATGTGATGTCCCTTATCACCTTTCTGTGCCAGTAGAAGTTAGAAACAGATGGTTCTAAAAAAATGTCCTCTATAAAAGCAGCCATTGAAAAAGGCAGAAGCAACATTGGTAGGTTCCTGCTACAATTCAAGAAAAGGGAAATGGAAATTTGTGTGGGTGGGTCTGTGTGCGGAAGAAGGGAAGATGAACACATAAAATAGCAATAGCAACAGCATATTTAGACTTATATACTGCTTCACAGTGCTTTACAGCCATCTAAGCAGTTTATAGATTATTGCCCCCAACAATCTAGGCCAGAGGTGTCAAACTGCCGTTCCGTGGGCCGGACGTGTCATCTGGAAGCCATGCCCACCCACTTGCCGGCAATGGCAAAACTGTCCTGATACATTTTACCGACCTAAGAGGGATGGAGGGCTAAGTCAACCTTGAACCCTGTCAGGATTGAACCCCTGCTGTGGACAGAGTTATCCTGCAATACTAGGTGAAAGCATTAAGAAAATCTAAAAAGTATACATAATTGAGCAGGGAAAGTTATATTTACTTGGCTGCCCTTCCTACAACCATCTCTGCTTTAGCTGTAATGCTTCTGATTTTCCTTAATGTATGTCTGGCTGGGAACTGAAGTCAACAGGTTTTAAAGTTGCCAAGATTGGACACCTCTGCTTTAAAGCATAGCAGAAGGCAAGTGTTTCTTCAACAATGTGGCTGCATAAGTGTTCACGCCTTCTTATAAGTAGGGATATGGCTGTGCTCAGAATTAACAATCACATTCATACTGATGGTAAATAATAGTTCACACCTGCCATTAATTAAAGTGACTCTGTTCAAGCCCCTATAATGTTCAGCTGTTGTGATAGGATTTTTCTGACATTTACTCAGTTGCCTCTTATAGCAAAAGCCTCAAAAGGATGTCATGACTGGAAGGTATCAGTCAGGAGAAGAATACAAAAAATAAAAATAAATTCCAAAGCATCACCAAAAATACACCACACCTAGAGTGAAGCATGATGGGTGGTAGCATTATGCTTTGGGGATGCTTTTCTTCAGCTTGAACTTGGGCTTTAGTCAAGGCGGAGGGAATTATGAACACTTCCAGATATCAATCAATTTTGTCACACAACGTTCTGCTAAAATGCTGAAGATTGGGAGCACTTTTGCAAGCAAGAGTGGGCAAAGATTCCCAGAGCAAGCTGCGCCATGCTGACAACCCAAAAGACTATCATAAAAACAAAAGGTGCATCAACAAAGTATTAAGGGACTGCACACTTACGCAACCATCATTATTGTATGTTATTTTTTCCCTTAAAAGATTTCAGTTTGGTTTTTGATTTAATTGTATGGTTTATATATTCTCGTAAAGGTGGAAAAAATTCTGAAGTGATTTATCTTGGTGTGATTTTTTTTACATCTCAAAAACCTGGCATTTTAACAGGGGTGTATAGACTTTCTATATCCACTGTAATTTAGGTGAGAAGGGTAGTTTTGTGATAGCTATTTTATGTCTTGGATGTGTTTGCAGTTCTAATAACAAAGTACTGTTGGGTCCCAATCTACTTTCTACCCGTTTGTATTTCAAAAGACTTCTTACAGCTTCAAGAGATATTCCTGGGAAGCTCTTTTCTGTCCTTCAGCTTCATGTTACACTGAATTTGTGGTTATGGGTAATAGAGCAAATCATCTTACTGGAGATGTCCAAATTCTGCAAACTTGACTTTAAAAAAAAATCTTGGATTTTTTTCTTAATAGCTTTATTATTTAGGGCAGATGTTCTAATCATAGTTTGTGTTTTAATTCTTATTTTTATCAATAACTGAATTTAAAATGCTTCAGGATATAGCAAATTCTTTGTTCATCAGTGATATATTGGCCCTATGATGAAAAACCTGTATAAATGAAAGCTACTCTTGTTTCCTCTTTTTTTTTCAAGTAATCATTTATACAATGGCAAATTGCTAATAGACTGAATCTTTAGTATTCCACCATGGGTTGTTAGGAAGTTGGCTTTAAAAAAAATTCTGATTTATTGGCTAGATCCAGAATTTTAGAAATAGAGCATTTTCTTAAGCAACAATTTAAGCAACAATCTTCCACAGAGGCTAATTTTTACATCATATACAATGTTCAAGATAGTGTTCAAGAAGGAAGGAAGGATCAAAAATGCCTATCAACATCCAAGCAGTGGATCCAGAATTTATCTCTCCAATGAATTTGAATTTGGACTGAAATCTTGAAAATATATTCCATTTGGAAATAAGTATTAATTTGGCCTGGCTGGCTGTGTTTGAAAATATATGTATCTATGGCTATTGCTTTCCCCTTTTTATCCACTACATGCTCCTTATCATATACATGATATTCATTTCTATATCTAGAGCTTTGGTTTCATTGCTTAGTAAAAGTCATTAAGATCTCCTTGTGCAAGGCTACTCTTACAGAAACACTCTTTGTATTTGAAGAATGGCAAAAGATTGGTTAAGTTCTATATATTATTAAGCCTTGGCTGCGAAGATCCAAATGTCCGTCCTTCCTATTTTTCCTATGGCTCGGCTAAATCCCTGGTAAGAAGTCTGAAAAGGTTTCAATGGATAATCTAGAGGGGCAACTTTGATAGGTGACAGTTTAATTTAAACACTTTTTACTGGAGAATGGTTAGAAGAAGCCATCTGCCAAAGGTTTTAAATTTTCTCCCCTTCTGTTTGTAACAAAGGATCATTTATGTAGGTAACCCTCCCTTTATATGAACACTGATGCAAAATAAAATTAAAAACAAATACTTTGCTATCTAAAAAAAGAAGCAGTGTTGAGATTTGAGTAATATGCAAAACACATTCAATTCACTTAATTCGCTACTTGGTTAAAAGGCAGATGTTTAATCAATTAAACAGTCTTCAGTAGATTGAGAACCCTACTTAATATCCATGTTAGCAAACATTCCATGGAAAGCCTCTTTAACAAAGTGTGAGTTGGGAAGGGAAAAAAAATCTCCCAGAAAACAGATGCTTCAATCACCACCAAGATTATGTGCCATTAACCTTTCTGGTTTGTACACACTGTTTCTACTGCTTGCAACAGCCTTGAGTCCATAACATCTGAACCAGAAAGTGTAAGTATTTATGTATTTCACAACTTTTTAAGATCCACTGTCTCTCCCGATCATACAAAAATTGCATACATACATATATGAATGTAGCTTATCCCATGATTTAAAGTGTGATTGGCTTTGAAACTGTAAATGGTCTTTGTCATTTAAAAAAGAGCTTTCTCAAATTGTAATATAGAAGGAATTTTGAGGAAATTTAGGTTCCAAGCAAATGACCCAAGCTCCATATATGAGGTCAAAGGGAAACTAGCTATGTGAGCCATAGAATCTCCTACATTGTTTCATGATGATATTGACATGAAATTGGAAAGTTTCTGTCATTTTTCTAACATAAGATTCCTTTTTGGGTGTGCAATAGGGAAGCAACTTTCTTAGAAATTCCCTATCTGGGCTACAAACCAGAGTAACCATTGGATGATAGCAAAAAGATAGAATGTTCCAAATTTTTATTTACTACCATCTGATATTGGTGCTTTTCCCAACTCAAATTAGATGACCTTATCCCTTCTGTTTGATTCGCTCCCTCTTATTTTCCCAGCACTTGCTTTTCCTTTGCAAAATATTTATTTTACAATTCCTGGCAAGGATGACCTATGCTTCTCAAAGAAATTAAGCAAGGCAGCCATTGGGTCATGTGGGTAAAGTTAAACCAGTGTAATCAGGAAGCTTTGAAATATTTGCCTTGTGTAAAACATTCATTTCAAACATGGAACTTTAGCATGTTGGGCTTAATAATAAACCGTAATCTGACTCAGTGATCCAGTTACAAGTTTATAACTTGGAGCCTTGACACAGTCCATTGGATATTGGATATAGTGTGGTTTCTCATTATTACAATATCATTATGAGAACAATATAATGATCACAACTGCTTCTCATAAGTTTAGATACAGGCTTCTTCCTGATAAATAATACAAGGTGGGTTACTCATTTCTATTGTCTCTACTTTGTTCTTTTAGCCAGTGATTTTAAAAATATATATTGTTTAGGAATAATAAACCAGTGAAATGTTTTCCAGAAGTCACATTAAGTTGAAATAGCCCTTTTTTCCTCTGGATCCCTAATGTAGTTCTTAAAGTTAGGCTTTATTTGCCAATAAAATAATACCCCCTCTTCCCCCTTTTTCACTGGAAATAAACTGGTGTCTTCAGATATGAGATGGGTATCACAGCAAGAATTGTGAGTGTCACTGCTGAAAATCTGGCTGGTTTTTTTGCCCAGTTTTCAGCTGCCCACCTCATTTACATCCATCTCTGGTGTGAATTGTGTTAGGGACACGTTTGGGAGCAGATTACCGCTAGTAAAAAACACTCAAGCAGATTTTCTTATTTACCTTCAGACACTACTCTTGAAATAAGAATTCCAGCTCACATTAATATGAAGGTAGTTGGGTTACCTATCTCAGGGACTATGGTTGCTATGTAGAGAATTGTTTCATCAGTGTAATTGCAGGAGTGCAATCATGGATAGCCTAAAATTTGTTAGCCTTTACTATGGATGAATATTGGTAGTTCAATAACAATTATTTCCAGATTTGGAGTATTTTCTCCATTTTGTTGAAATTGTTTCTTCTTCTAAATTTATGGCACTGGGATTATTTTTTATTCATTAATCAAAATTTAAAATTATTTCCCACATAGAGGGAACAAAGAAAATATTGAAAACATAGTCATTGAGAGTTGGGTGTCAAGGTTAAATATATTATTATTGCAAAGATTATAGTTGCTATCTCTGCAGCAAGGATTTAAAGGATGCAACAATTATTATTATTATTATTATTATTATTATTATTATTATTATTATTATTATTATTAAAATGCAAACACTGGATGAGTAGACCAAACACTTTCCAATAAAACTTTTCTGAGTTTTTCCTTTGCCTTGTTTTAACAGATTCTTGCTTTAAAGGAGATTGATTTTTTTGCTCCATACCAGGTCATTATAGCAAATGTTTTAAATCATTTGGTCCTGCTATTTGTGATATATAGACTTCACTTTAATCTTTGCATTCCCTGTAGTAAAAGAAAGCCCCATAATTTTTTGAAAAATGATTTTTTTTCTTCAATAAATTTTCTTTACTGGTAATGTTACAGTTCTGATTCCCCGAGTTTTTTCTTTTGCTGGTGCTCTTCTGAATCTTAAATACAACTGGTATCTTCAGAAACCTGTCAAGTAAGTTTATATTTACCTTTTTGTAGTTTGCAAATAAAAGAACAAATGGTATCCAAAACAGAGTGTATAAAAACTTAACTCTTCTGATACAATGTGAGAGCATAGTCCAATTTACAGGAATCTTCAAGCAGGACTGGACATAATTCAAATGTCATTCATACAAATGACACTCAGAACGGTCTATTCTCAGTTATTAGTCATGCTACCCAACCTTACATCATCTCAAAACTCAGAAGTATTGCCTCCACTTTTTCATCCAAATCATTAATATAAATGTTGAATAGTATAGGATCCAGAAATGAACCTTATGATAGTCTCCTTAATTTTTCACTAGCTTGAAGTGGAATCATTGATGATTTTCAAGGAAACTATGATTCATCAATTTGTCTAATCTCTGTAGATTTCTGGTGGTCATGTGGTTTTTATGGTACTTTCAGACTGATATTTTTATGATCTGGTCACAAGTGTTAATGAGAGATCTCTGGCTCTAGTTAGCTGGCTCCATAATTTTTTACACTTTTTGAAGATGGAACATTTATCTTCTTCCTTCATCTGGCAAGTCACCATGTCTAAAAGATAATATATTTTGGCAGACCATCAATAACTTCCTTTAGGATTCTAACCTGCAATTACTTAAGTCCTAGATCAGTGATGGCAATCCTTTTAGAGACCGAGTGCCCCAAAACTGCCCCCCCTGTCCCCACTCCACCTTGCCTGCTGGGCCACCCACCACCTCTACGGCCCACCACAGATCACCCAGGCAGCCCAGCAGCATCATGGTGGCCATGCCCTCCAACCATGCCCCGCAGCATCATCTGTGTGTGATGGGGCACAAGGGCGGAGTCTTGTTCCCGCTGCCTGGCTACCATGTCCTTGGCTGCGCTGCTTCGCATAGGCTGTGCCCAGGAGCAACCCTCCTTCACGGGGCTGCTGGTGAGGAGGGGGCTGTGGGAGGAGGTGGGGCTGGGATGACAGTGCGTGTGCCCACAGAGAGGGCTCCAAGTGCCGCCTCTGGCATGCGTGCCATAGGTTCGCCACCACTGCCTTAGATCCTAAAACTAATGCTATTATTACTACCCGGCCTCTGAAAAATTATTTCCTCCAAATAAATACATTCTGACCATGTTTTGAACAATCTCAAGTTGCAGTCATTCCTCTTTGTTTGGTTCTTCACAATTTTGTGTAGAATGCACATTCTAGTTAAGAGAAGACTAAGACATAGTAGGATTTGAAAAATCTTCCTTTTCTTTGCATTTCCCCATCTTTATTGAGCAGCTATTAGTTCTCATTCTTGTCTCTTCCTTTTATCTTGAGCATATATAAAGAAGCCATTTTTATTTTCTAAGTATACTATCCCAATCTCAACACATTCTTTCCAATTCTGTGAAACATGTCTGGACCCTTCCTCAATAATCCACTCCTATTTCAGCTTTCCATGAGTTTTCAGATCTTCTCTAATGTAACCACATTGGCTTCTGCTAGTTTTCATTTTCTTTCCTAGTTGGAATTGTTTACAATGGTGCTTTAAGCATAGGTGTTTTGGGGAAGACAAGTGGGGGTAAATGACAAAACAAGCATTGCAACTGAAATTCAGCCTCTTTTATATGTATATTGTGATGTTGCCTGCATGCATATATAGGGCTGTCTTGTTGATAACATTTGCATACTGCAAGCATTTTTCATTCTCTTTCTGATTTCCTTCTATCAGCTGAAGTGTGAATACTAACAGTGGTCAATTCAGATAATATAAGTAATTTGTCTATGCTTGCAGAAACATTGCATTTATTTATTGTACTCACTAATGTCAAGCAAAGTGGGGAATTTGTAGCCCCAAGGCCATTCATTGTAATTTCAAAACCTCCTTACAAATCCACAGTTCACACTTCTGGCATGAGCAATCTGTCCCTTTGTAAGTATGGTAGCTTCTTGAGAAGGAAGGAAGAGGGAATCAACAGAAGGAACGCTAGAAGCAAAAAGTAGGAAAACATGTTATCACAAAGTGGACATCAAGAGAAAATAGTGTCTCTATCAACGTTTGACTCTTCCCACTCAGTGCTTGTTTGTAACTCCTAATAAATGTCCAGCTGCTATGCATTTTAATTTAATTCAAAATTTTACGTTGTGTAATTTATGTATGGGGTCCTTGCTGGTCTCTGAGATTGGTTGTTTTGTTGGAGGCATTTCATTACCCTGCTATATAATATCATCAGTGCTAAAAGAGAGTAGGGTTTGTTCTCTGTTCATATACAAGTGGCTTGCCCTGCCAGTGTTTATGGGAATGTTCTTGGTAGTTTCTTGATTAGACTATTGTTTACTGTTGAATTGTTTGTCTGAGTTCCTTGACTGGGGCATTGTTTGCTGCTTGAGTTCAAGGAACCACCAAGAACACTACCACTTCTACGTACAAAACTACCAGATCTGAGCTACAAAAATTTGGACTGCTAATTGGCATTACAGATTTGCATTTTTCTCTATTTCTTGGGGCCATCTAATGTAGTATGGATTTTTGAAAACCAGATCTGATAGATTTATGTGGCAGTTACCAGTTCCAAGTGAGGCAAGCATAATCTCATAGCAATAACTGTCAATACTGAAGGCAAGAGGAGTGGTGGGGGAGAATATCCCATTGCTTGAGAAATGATTTGCAATTACATTCTGTTCATATTTTCCTCATTAATTAGAATTGTTTCTCACATCGAGTGCTTGTTACTTAACCTTCATATGTTCTCATTGTGATGTCTCATAGTTCTGCATTGAATCCCTGACTGATAAAATGCTTTTGCTGAACCACATTAGTGAACATCAGCTTGTCTTCGGTTGAGACATACCAGTATATCTTCTTAAGCAATAGGGCATGATGAGATGACAACTAACTTCAATTGAGATGCTCCGCTGAAAACTGCAAGCAGTAGCAGAACAAGAAAAGGCATGATAACAAACTGTGGAGTGATGGTGGGCAGAAGTATCTTGCTAAGGGCAATCTATGAACCCGGGGATAGAGAGAATCTCACCCCTGAGAGATTCATCTCGGAGAGCAGGAGAAAAATGTAGAAAGTATCTTGGTTTTGATTCTTATCACAATAAAGTTTGCATTAATGACTTTTGTGTCAGCCAAGCAATGCTCATTCATGAAGGTGAGGTTTAATTCAGATGTATCAGGATGAAAATTAAAGGTAGATAAAGGTAGATTGACAGATATTGTACTTTCTGATTTCAGAAACATAAAACTTTTTATTGTTGCTGTTCAGTCACTAAGTCATGTCCAACTCTAAGGGACTCCATGGACCATAGCATGCCAAGCCCCCTATATTACACTGTCTCCTGGAGTTTGCCCAAATTCATGTTCAATGCACCAATGACATTATCTGAGCATCTCACTGTTTGCTGTTCCTTTTTCCTTCAATAAAAATGAAAGTAGTGCCCGCCACATATTTTTTCTAGAAAAAAAGTAATTTCCATTAATTGGCTGTGAGAAGATGCTGCATAGAGATATCCATCCATCCATCCTTCCTTCCATCTATCCATCCATCTGTCTTACATTAAAAAAAAGGACGGTTAGTTTTTACTTTTATTTTAATGGTACATTTAACTAATTCTGAATTACTGGGGGACTCTCAGGAAAGTAGAGCTCAGAGACACATTAATAGTAAGTAAAATCATTGTGTTTGGTGTTATTACAGTGAATAATAGCAAATGAATTAATATGATTATGGGGAAAATAAAACTGCTGTAAAAATAATGTATAC